AAGATCGCGCTGAATGGATCCATCGGTTTGGAAGTGACACCACCCGAGGAAGGTTCTTTAGGTGGTGGTAGTGCCAGTAATACGGGCATACTCGACGTCGGTCTCCCATCCATGCCGAGTCTTGGCGTTGGAGTTGGATTTGGACCGACGCTAGCTCCTGGACTCTGCAGCTCCTTGGGCGGTCTATATGATCCGTCAACTCTTCAGAGTCCAATGGTGCAATCACCTCAATCGCCGCAAATTCAGGCTGCCACGCAGGATCCACAGCACATACAGGGGACGATAGTATGATATAACCTTATGTGGGGACGCAGACTCTCTGGCGTAGTGCGAAACAAATGGCTCTAGCGTTCCCACATTAGGTATTAGAATCGTACGTCGTTAGCGAGCGTAGCGTGTTTGCCCGTAATGAACCAACCAGTGGAAGCACCCGATTCACTCAAATGGCTTGGAATTGCGATGGAAAATGTGCAAACCGCATTGCGTCTTTTCCATCGTCTTCCTAATCCGAATAGAATGTAGACGAACCCAAGTAGATACTCTTATGATGCAGTAATATTTCCTTACAGTTACTCGAAGCGAATTACAAACTGTGATATACTATACTTTCGTATACGTTGCATTATCTCGTTGCGACTAATTTTTCAATTCGACACATTTTATTACTTCTTTTTTTTTTCTTTTTAATTTCTTAACAAAACAAAAGTATTACGATCAAAAAGGTAACTTCATTTTTTCATTGAATATTCGTTATGTGTTCAGTAAAACAAGATATATATTTATAATTATCGAAAGAAAACATTTTTCGAAAGAGAACGATTTACTACTGTCATCACAAACTATATACTTACAAACAGTTGTTTGCATATTAACGTGGTATGCGAAACGAGATATCTTTCTGTCGATCGTAAATGGTCAACGTGATACGACGTTTGGAGCAAATGATACACATATATATATATGTGTGTGTGTGTGTGTATGTGTGTGTGTATGTGTGTGTGTATGTGTGTGTTAGGCTCATAACTAGAAAGAACCAAAGAATATTAACGTGATCTATTCATCATTTGAAAAGTCAAACCTTTCGATCGATGACAAATATCTAATTTGATATTTCTTACGTACAGAGACAGCAAATTATGATGAAAGAGACTTGATATATTTGACAAATTATTACTAATTTTATTACAAGTGATTTATAGTTTTCTGTATATGCGAGATAGTGAATTCGAAAAAGAGAAAAAGAAATTCGAATTAGATAGATTTTGTCCGATCAATTTGGTACATTCTCGATTTCAAAAAACAAAGGATATTAACGTGAATATCCCCTTAGCGAAATTCCAAATAATTTTATACTAGGAGAATTTACGGCGAGAGTATACAAGATACAAATGAATATATATATATATATATATATGTGTGTGTGTGTGTATATATATATATATATATATACATATATAAAAGAGAGTATATATATATAATTATAAATATAAAATAGTATATATATGATTATAAATATAAATCTATGACCATTCTAATCATATCAGTCGAAAATGACATTCGAACAAGTCATCGTACTATACGTAAGTATATTAAAACAAAAAGAAACAAGTAGAAATGGCGTAGATGCTTAAGGTACGTAAAAATTAAAGTTTCAACAGGATTCGGAAAAATGCTTTTCATTAGTAAAGTTTCTATTTTCAAATCTGATCCGAAATTGTACGAACGATTCGATCAATGTGAAAGGAAATTCAATCGTAAAGAGAACAATACAAATGTTTCTTCATCTCCTGTATTAATTCCAAAGTAAATTATAAAGCATATTGCAAAATGATAAATTTTATGGGCACTCGTCCGTAAAAAAATTATTTAGCGTTAGCAAAAGGATGTTCCTGCTTCATTTGGACAATCCGTTTTGTTAGTTAGTTCGGAATCCATGCCAATCCTGAAATGTCTTTAAAAGTCTATTTTTTGACTTTATCAGCGCCAAATTCATGGCGTTTTAAGCCAAATGCGATCGTTCGTTGACCAATTTACACGTTTTTTCGACCAAATCGTCATCCTTCGCGCGATACGTATTTACATATTGCTTGAAAATTGCTTTTAACAGCTCTCCCAGTAACGACGCCACGATTTCAATCAGTCGAATTAGTTCGTCTCATATTTGTCTCGTTAATGCGATAATTCTTACCAATTACTATTATCGATTTTATCGTACTGTACTTGTATCTGCAACAAGACGAATTTCACAGGAAAAGCAAAATAATTTATTAATGACTTGCTTTATACAACTTTCTCTCTATCTCTTTTTAATGTCATACATACAATAGACAATATTTTATCCTAAACAATGTTCATAATAAATTCTATAAAAAAAAAAAGTACACAAATTTTGAATTATCGCATTGCTTTATAAATCTTCGATTAATCATTTTATTAAAAGAAAAAGATGTTCAACATTATAATTTTATTGTTGGTGCAATGCGGTCCTGCTTATGATCGGCGAATAAACTTTTAATTTCGTAGAAATAAAATTTCATTTAAATATTTTAAACATTCTTATAAAACATTTTTCTCGATCACTTCTTATATTCGCTTTTCTCACATTCGCTCGGTACATTTTTCTCGTAATTTAGAACTGAGAAGATCAGTGTTGACTATTAAGAACAAAAACGGATCATCTTCGTTGGAACGACTAAGACTCGCTAGTGTTTTGTGTATATATATATAACGTATAGGTATATAGCACATGCGTGAGGTATTTTTCAGTAGGAGGTAATTTTCTATGTCATAAATCGTAAAAGCTCAAATAAAAAAGATTCGACAAATTCATGCGGCTTCATCTTGACGTTAATGCGTTAAGAAAATTCTCGCGGAGTCTTATATATTTTTTCCGAAGAGCATATTTAAAATAGTCGTCGATGAGTACGAGGAATCGAAAAAAAAGAAAACTGTTTGATGTTATCAACCGGACGAATTAAGGGTATAAAAAGATTTAATTCTAAAATCTCCATTGGAACTCGTTTGAGTTAAAATTTATTGTCGATCGTTAACAGAGTACAAATGAAATAGTTATTTTTCTTTTCTTTCCTCGCTCGAATAAACGTTTATCGCTTGATTGCTCGCGCGTAGCTCGATTTTCTCGGAAAAAAAAATCGATTGTCATGTTTTACCTTCTATTTATCGATACTTACATTGATTTAAAATAGTTATAAACCTTTTCGAGGACTATAACGATCGACCTCAAGGTACGTAAAAACAGAAAAATGACGAGCGAACGACGATATCGGATATTTTACTTCCCTCTAGAAAGTGTAGAGATTATTATGGACGAATAATTGAGTACTGAAAAAATAAATTTAAAAGTTTATCCGCGTACCGTAATTCGTTGTCACGATAGCGATACGAGTGGTAGTTCAAAGATGTATATAGTTGATTATATATCTAGACGATAGGATCATCTTACAAACATATGACCTGAATCTTCGTAGTTTAATTGGTATGAATAGTTGAAAGAATTTTATGTTGTAAAGGACGACCGCCCAAACGATGTCCTGAATGGGAAAACTTCGAATGTGTTTTTTCTAGTAATTTATAACTTAAGTAATTCAGATGTATACAAAATTATAAAAGAAAAAAAAAAAGAGGAGAAGATATTATCGCTTGTTCGAATAAGCTCGATGTCTTCGTATACTTACAATATTCATTCTAAGATAAATCTTAACATTTTATGATAACGAAAAAAAAAAAAAAAAAAAACAAAACAAAACATACTCAACAAAGATAATTGTAGCTATACGAAGATAGTCTGATATTGATAAAATGTGAATGATTCCTTATTTAGGACAAATTTAACCCTTAAAAGTTCTAATGACATAAATCACGTTAATGCTATCTTTTTGAAATATCATCGCAGTATATTATTTGTTACTTTATAAACTTAATATCAATCAAAAACAAAAGCAATTAAATTCTATCTTTATTATCGTTTAATATCAGATGAAAATTATCTAAAGTAATTTGTGCAGTGTTTACCAATAACATAGCGATGATTATGGCAAATAAATATTTCTTTTGCACTTTGTGCATTTCACATCTTTACTTTATTTCTTATTGAAGTAAAACTTTAATCATCATAAATTTTAAGGGTTAAATGAAATATTATCCAATCTCATCGGATGATCGACTATGCATTTATAAACGGCCGATGACCAATTTTTATTTCTTAGCCCTTACGCATTTGTTACTTTTTTCTCAATCTAATGATACGATCTTTGCCAAAATTCGAAAAACAAATTCGCATCTTGTGAGCAACGATATCGCGACTTTGTATTTAATGAGAAAATGATCAGAATCAAAGCACAAATTTCTCACAATTTCTTATGCTTATTCCATTCATAATATTTATAAATTCTATTGTATTACTACATTCTCATTTATTAAATCTCAGAAGTACTCTTACTTTTCTTTTTTCTTGCATAAACATGAGAGACAATTCTTTTTCACAAACGCACTGAGCACCGCACAAATTTTGTTCTGATATAAAAAAAAAAAAAAAATAAAAATAAAAAAACAATAAAAGAGAGAGAGAGAGAGAGAGAGAGAGAGAAAGTATAGAACAAAAGAATCTGGTGTATCTCTACGACCTTACTTCAAACTCACTACTACATAGACGAACATGTTCTTACAATTAGAATTTAAGCAACTAAGCATTCCTCGACCATTAACAAACAAGATTGTAAACGGATGTACGTAATGTAAAATAATAAATGGAAAAAAAAACGGAGAAAGAATGTAAATTATATATATATATATATATATATATATATATATATATATATATATGCAATGTGTTGCAACGCGATGCAAGTGTAAATTTATTATGAATAAATTATTATAAAGCAAAGGAACAAACGTCCGTGTCGTTTAGATATGACCAATAAAATTCTTCGTATTCCTTCTCTCGTAACTCGGATAGAAAACTAAACGAGAAGGATCAAATATAATAGTGTACGTGGAATGTTTATTCTACGTATATGCACACACGTGTGTTATATACATAATTATGCGTATTGTCGTCTCTATGCACGATGTATAAATACAGCCTTTAAATACATTATCGACAAGAGTGTTGATCCGGCGATGCGCGCGCGCGGACTAGACGTTCTTTACAGATTTAGGAACGTTCTCCGTGAACTGTCCAACAATATTACCCCTTGGATGATAACATGCGACCACGACGCACGTTCCATCTCTTTTTGCCATAGCTATGCCCATTTCGGTGGTATTCTTCCATACGATTTGCGTGAAGTGACCTAATAAAGAAAAAGTAAAAATACCGAGTGCTAATTTTTTCTTATCAAAATTATCAATTATCAAATCATTTAAAAATTTCATACGTACAGGTATTAAGAATCTTCGGTTCCGTACCAAATTTATGTTCTTTTTTCTCGGAATACCACTTTGACACAACTTCTCGAGCCGATACGACCAGTTTAGGATCGGAACATTGCATAGAGTATATGTTTTCTCCGTACGGTGAGGATGATTGTGGTATCAATTTATTCGTGTTTAACAGCGTATTGGCCCATGCCTGGAATAAATCCAAATGGAATATTGATTATCAATGAAATCAAATATTTTGATTGAATAACGAGAAAGAATTAATGTACCTTTGCAGCTACCGTTAACTCAGGACTTAACCTTAAGTCAGGTACACGATGCCTCCTTCTGTATTCATTGTGAACTAACAAGGCCTCTTGTTGCCAAGCCTGTTCGTCGAGAGTATATTGACTCTTTGAAAAGGATATCCTTTTACTCGGACTCGTACTACCAGATGGAAGGACGTTATCCGTAAAGCTGCCTAAGAAGTTACCAGCTGGATTGTAGTTGCATACTACATAGACCTCTCCGTTTCTGTTTCTCGCCATGCCGACACCTAACTCGGTACTATCTCTCCATACAACTTGTGTAAAATGACCGGTTTTCAAAGTAGTAGGTTCTTTACCGTACTGATGTAAAGCTTCCTCGGCATACCTAAAGGACAAATTTTACAATATAAAAAGGAAAAAAAAAAAGATTAATTATTATTGGGAACATACCATTCGTTTACTGGCTCGTCACCACCAACGATGGTCTTTGGATTGGAACTCCACATGCAATAAAGATTCTCTCCGTAATCTATATTTGCCCTATGCTCTAATCTACCCTTAGCTGCCAGAATATTAGCCCAATCCTGACTGGTCTTGCACAACTGAAAATTTTATAAATTTATAATTATTAAATGAAAATTTCGATCTTATCGATCGATCAATCGATAATTACTTGTTTGCTAAGTCGCAAAGGTGGTACACCGTGTCGCACTCGATAATAATTGTGTGTCTCCAGGCACATATTGATGAATTCCTTGGGAGGCCCTGATCTACGCACAGACGGTTTACGCGTGTCAGTCTTTGTTATCTATAACATAGAGAGAGAACATACTGAAAATCTAATGATCTATTTTTTAACGGATACAATATAAAAATCTATTTAATTATAATCCAAATAATTATTCAATAAAAATTTCAAGAAGAAATTCAATTATATATACGTGCAATTAATATTAATATTTTTTTTTTTTTTATATATAGAATGGAAAAAAGAAACGCTAACAGATTGCAACGATTTCCCATCATTCTAACGAAGATCGATCATTTTTTAAATCGACCAATTACGTTCGAAAAATCAATGAATTCCTTTGCTTCTATGAGATTTCCCACTCACGTGCTCCAGCTAAGATTAAAAGTTCTTTCACTCGTAAAAACCTTTTTGAATGCTTCACTGTATAACAGACAGATAAAACGTTGGCAAGAAATCAAGATAATATTATATGATCATAGAACTTTTTTACGAAGAGACTAAAGAAAGAAGTTGCAGAGAACGATAACGATATTCTTTTCAATCGAGATATCGACGCTCTTCGAAACTATTTCGGACTATTGAAAGTGAGAGGATATAGAAATTACTTTGAATCTCACGATCAGAATTTTTGAATAGAAGAGAATTTAAGAGACGACGTGAATTAATATATTTACATAGATAATATCGTACCAACTTTAAAAATAACTTTTGTATTATTTTATTAAAAAATTAATGCTTCAAATAATACTTTATTTTGCATCAATTTCAAATATCCAAATATAACTTACTTGTTTCAAATGACTCGATGTATCTTTGTATCCTCAATGATTTCATTTTCATTTCAAACAATAAATTATCTCAATCGTTAAAAAGAGATAAATAAAATAGTATGATCATTTATGTTAATAAATAAATATATAATCAAATGTAATTTTGCAATGGCAAAAAATCTTTGCAGAAAACTACGCATAGTATTCTCTATTAAAGATGGCTCAACAGTATGATGTTTTTGAAACGTTCGATAATCGAAGGCATCGATGAACGTGTACTTAGGGCGCACGATCATACACGTATGGGCAGTTGACCGGAAAAGGCGACTAGTATTAGTCATCCAACAAGATCAGTTCGATATCGTGAAGTAATAATTCAAGTCGATGAGAAAGACAAAGATAGACAGATAGAGAGAGAGAGAGAGACAGACAGACAGACAGACAGACAGACAGACAGACAGACAGAGACCGAGAAAAAGAGAAAGGAAGAGAGAGTGAGAGAGAGAGAGAGAGAGAATCGCGAGCATCTGAAATAAAAGCAATCTCTTAAGAAGCAAATGAGTCATAGACGAATGGTAAGAAGCATTCATCCTGTCTGCTTTCTTTCTCACATGTCAATGTGTTAAACGCCTTCGAATGCAAATCTTCTAGCAACCAAGTTGTCCGGGTTCGACTCACCAGAGTCGCGTGCTTCTTAACGGACCGACGTAAATAGCGCGAACTAGTTGAATAGTAATTAGCATCGCGTGCGAATCCCGAGCGATCGGAGGTGCGAGAATCCTTTAGTGTTGCCTTCTTGTTTCCGTTATGTCTACGGTTCTATATCTTTAATCGTGATACAAAAGTCGATCTAAAATCCAGTCAGTCATTGATCGGATCGAAGCGAACGGTTACCTAAGAACAGTTTCTAGAACTATCTCTCCATGGACATTCTCACGTTTCGATAAGAAATTATATTTATGTTCGAAAATAGTTATAGCGAGTGCAATAAGTATTCTTTATAGTTTTTTGTTCTTCTTCTTTTTTTTTTCTTTTTTTTTTCTAAATGTATATTTCTTTGTTGTATTATATAATTCTTACGTATCTTAATTGCTAAACGTTTCAAAAAAAAAAAAAGAAAAAAAAGAAAGAAAATAGACATGCAAAATAAATAATATTTATAAAATATAATTTGCCAATATCATTCGCAATTGTTTTCGATAAAAGGAACTTTTTCGACAAATAAAAAAAAAAAAAAAAAAAGAAAATTCGAAGAAATCTAAATTTCGGAACAAATCTATTCTTATTAATATTTGTAACGATAGTTCCTATACATGGGAATATCTTTATATGTATAAATTTTGAAAAATATATATTTTCTTATAGATTATTTACTTATTTTAATATGTTTCCTTGTAACTAAGATATGTAAGAATTATAACGGTATACGTATATGTACGTATATAACTTTATTAAAAAAATAAATAAATAAATAAATAAATAAATAAATAAATAATAGAATAAAGAAATATACATTTAGAAAAAAATTATTTCAAGTACAGAACTACTTTTTTTTTACACTCAGTATTAATTACATATGAATAATTTTACCTGCGAGGAGGAATATCTCGCAGAATCTGGCGAGGCAGAAGAGGATCTTGCGCTGCTACATGACATGCCATCGCTTCCTAAACTACCGTGAAAACTGCCGTGTAAGGAATTCGACAATGGTCCTGGCGATGCTGGCGATGCAGTCAAAGGAGATTTGGATCTAACCGATTCCGTCCTTGACCTGAAAGTAAATCGATTATATGGTATACAGAGAAACACAGAGTCTCTTTCAGTTTTATACAGTAGAGCTTCTGTGTAACTTTAAATAACTCCGTAATCTTTGTTCAAGCTGCTTATGTGCGAAGCTCACTTTTATCGAGCGTGAAAGAAGAAACAGTGCGACGTTCAGCGTGAATAAGTATTTTGAATAATATTTATTTCCTTTTTTTTCTTTTTCTTTTATGCAAATAATAAATCTGAAGCGATAAAAGTTTGTAAAAATAATCATTAGGAGCCCGTTTATTTTTTTTTTTTTTTTTTTTTCTTTTTTTTTTTTTTAATTTGCTTTTAGGCTCGCTTAAAGCGATCTATCGAATATATGGGATACCTAATTAATTGACACGATCGTTCTAAATACAAAGAGAAATTCAAAAATAATCGAAAAAATATATAAATGATTAGAATGAAACAGAGCGAGATGTAAGCATTACAACGTATACGTAGAAGCATACAAGAAGGCAAATGATCGAAGAAAGCGCGCGCGAGGTCGGTCGATCTTGATCTTGCGGATCGCACAAGTAGTCATTACGACATGCGGAATGGGTCGAAGCAATTTATGACGAGGATATCTAATGCGCTATCTAATAGTATTTCTAAACTATTTTCCGGGTAAGCTAATCAGCCAAGCTGAATACTGATTTTACTTGCAAATAGTTTATTTCACATCGTATATATTTATCTATTTCGCGTTTATAAAAAGCAATCATTTCTATAAGAATCATTCGATTACCCTTACGAAAGTTGTATCGAATGTATTTTCGTTACGTAAAAAAAAAAAAAAAAAAAAAAAAAAAAAAAAAATAGAAAAGAATATTAGCGATCTCGTAGTATTACGACAAACAATAAAATCGTAGAGTATCCAGTATTCAGCCGGGATAATCTCGCGTTTAAGAAGCGGAGAGAAAGCTGAAAATTTCAATGTACGACAACGAGGCGGTGGAGGACACGTCGTTCCTCAAGAATTACGAGAAGTCTCCCGTACTCTCTTCGCCCATGTTGTTCAACACGCTTTTACGATCGACGCTTTTACTTCCTCCTTCCCTACGAGCCTTTCCTTCCTTCTCTCTGTACCACTCTAACCACGGTCATGGTCGTCACTGAAGACCTTCCTTCCGCGCCAGTTCATCGACCGTCCCATTCCCATCTCGAGATTATTTAATATTATTTAATATTATTATTTAAATATGAAAAAACAATTTGTAATAATACAAAACATAATGCACATTCTTCACAAATATATAAAATCAAAAGATTTTTGTTTTCATTGAAAAATATTTTCCACGTCAAATCGCTTGATTTCCTTGTTTACATTACGCCTTTCATTAAATGTTTTCTATACGAGTAAACGTTAATCTCACACGGTCTTTTAGTACTGAACGACCGTGGGAACGCGGAGCTATGTTATTTAATACATTCAATTCCCTTTCGTTAACGACATAAAGCGCATTACGTATTAGTACTACTAGTCAATTCACTAAGGCTCGTATGAAAGTATTAGAAAAAGAAAAAATAAATAAATAAATAAAATGAAAAAGAAAATATTGAAAGGGAAAGCGTTCGTATTTCAAAGCGTTCGTAATTCAAAGTATAGCTTGTAGCAAAGTAATCGCAAATAAATGTTGAAGTATCGTTTTAGTTTCAACGTTTATATACGAAGAGAAATTTTCAGCCGTCACTCTTGGCGCAGCTAAGTCTATAACATAAATGAAAAACAAAGAAAAAATAAAAAAAGGTCGCTTGTACAACGGAAAGTAAAACCACTACCGATTCTAGTGAAGTTGCAAGGATGCCAGAGAGGGACTCGCTATAAAGCTATAAATCAGTCATATACTTTCTCGCTTCACTGGAATTGGAATTTGGCTTGACTGCAAGTCTGCACCATAGGTGAGTACCTTTCGGGCGACAGCTGGTCGACAAAGCCGACCACCTTCTTTTTCGTTCCACTGACGCTGAGCGAGGGCATACTACGCAAGGGTAACGATTTACGATGTACACAAACGTTCATCTTTTAACTTACGCTATATGTTTCTTTGACATATGAAGAGGGGTCTCGAGAGAAATTCGTAATAAAGTGTATCGAAGTGTGACCTCAGTAAAAGGATATATTCGCATTGGCGAAAGATACATCCTATAATTGACAACATACATGTACGAAGTCATAGTTTCTCTCGGAACCTCTCTCTCTCTCTCTTTCTCTCCCTCTTCTTCTCGTCTAATTTTCATCTCTATCTCTCATCTCTAGCTTCACTGTGATATATACACACATTTATAAAGGGAAAAGGATACAACGTGAAATTACCGACTACAACTTTACGACGTATAAATCTTTGCCTACTGAAACGCATGTAACGAGTTTCCGGTGCTAGGATATACATAGAAGAAACGTCGTTCAAATTTCGTGCATTTTACGAACGTTTCTCACAATGCAATATCGAACAATCTTATTAGTAACAATTACATATACATACATGCTAATTCTCATTTAATTTTCTTCTTTATTATTTATAAAATAGCACGACATCGTTCCGGACTTTCGATCGAGTACGATTTACCGCCGATTAATTTGTTACATAATATCCTTTCTATACGTGGATCGTCATCATGCCACCTCTGTTTACTCTTTCGCAATTTTATTCCTTGCAGAGAAGAATTCTGTGAACGCATCAACCAACCTGTTTGACTTTGGCGTAACGATGTCTCTCGTTTCCGAAGTGTATTTTCTTTCAGCTCTGCCACCGTTGAATAACTCGACGGTTTCCCTGGTGACGGTCTCTAAAAGAGGTTCCCCACCTCGCCGACCCTTACTGAAGGTTCTCTGATCCGTTTTACGGACCATAACAACCCTCGACAAGGGTTGGTTGAATTCATGACCATGCATAGTCGGTGGAATCATCGCTAATGATTGCGAGAGGGGTCCTCCTACGCGCGGAGACCTGGAACATTATTGAAATAATTGAAGCGACAATTTTCTTTACGTACAGATAAAGAATATGACAATGCGATATCGAAGAAATGAGAATTTTTACACTCTATAAATGAGATAAGTCACGAGTTCGTAGAAAGGAAAGGCATAATCGCACGATCTTATTGACGTACGAAGGTAGAATGTTAAATGAGAAAAAAAATTTCTACTATATTTCCGTTCCGTGACCGAAGGTCAGTACGTGGTGCAGAGCGGTTAGAGCGTGTTACGTGCTCGAGGTTGACAGATACATGGATATAATACAGACACATAATACACACGCAATAGGCGAACAGAGGACGATATGGATAACCAGAAAAGAAGTTCCCTCTTAACGAAAACTACGTTCACGAGGGAAACGCGTAAAACTCGTTATTATCCGACCGATTAGATCTGCAGATCGATGCATTTGTTCAGCGTAATTCTCTCGTTAAACTTGCACGAGTTTTCTCTTTTCGACGCAATAATTAAAATATAATAGATCTCTTGTATGTTCGTCATTTCGTAGGATCTCATCATTTTCCATTCGATTAGATCAACAATAAGAGATATTGATAATATTTTCTTCTTAGAGACGAGATATCCTCGTCAATTATTTTTCATTCCTCTCGTAATAAATCCATGAAATTCATAGGAACGAATTCGAAAAATCGATTTGGAAAGTTTCCCCGTAGAAGAAATATTGGTTTAATGACTTTTGCGAGAATCCATCGCTGTCGTAAATAAATCGGAAAGTGTTCCATAGAAAGAGAGTAATAATCACAATAAGAAGAAAAAGAAAATGAAGAAGAAGAAGAAGAAGAAGAAGAAGAAGAAGAAGAGGTCTGTTTTGCTTCTCGCAAAAAGTCTCTTTGTAGTTTATTTAAAAAGTAATGCGTGTTCGCGAGATAGTAACCTTGACTGGAAATACAAACTCACGTATGATTAAAGGATCGATAAAAAGTTGCGGTCACGCGTCGAGGATTCGAGGTCGATACCATGAAGTTCGTGGAAGGAATCATAGATAATTTCGTAGAGAAAGAGAAAGAATGAAAGAAAAGAAGAAGAAGGGAGAAAGAGAGAGAAAGGAAAAGAGAGAAAGGAAGAGAAAGAGAGAGATAGATAGATAGAAAGAGAGAGAGAGAAAGAGAGAGAGAGAGAGATTTCAAATGCAGAAACATACGAATTTTCATCGAAATTCAAAGTATTAAAATTCTTAACTGTGTGATAAGTACGAGATAGATATGTTCACATAATAATGAATTTATAAAAATCATATGAACAACGTTAAAAAGGACGTATACGAAATTGTTACGAATAGATGAAAGACAAAGAGGACTTACGTATGAACGAAGAAGGATAATAGAAACTTCAGAATTTTCTTCTTTGCTCTTTATCCACGACGAAGGCAAAAACGACGACGACAACGACAACGTGGACGAAGGGAACGACGCCGAGGGCCCATAATTTAGGCGCGTAGCGTGAAAGACGTCTCGAAGATCGTGAGGCTTTATATCGGCGCCGTTTTCTCGAGCTCTGCACTCGGTTTAACCCGCGCGACAGGACGAACAAAACTGGCACGAGTCGGCCGGCTTACAGAGGGAGAAGGCGCCGCGAGAAAGGGAGAGAAAAAGATAGAGGAAAGGAAAGGAGAGAGGGATAGCTCTCTTTCTCTCTCTTTTTCTCTCTTTCTCTTTCTCTCTCTCTTTCTCTCTCTCTCTCTCTCTCTCTCTCTCTTTCTCTTTCTTTCTCGTTCTCGCTTCGAGAGAGGAAAGGTGGCCAATTAGCCGTTACTCGGCGCAGCAGCAGCAACAGCAGCACATGCCTTGAGCGAGTAACTCTCGATGCAGCTGCTGCGAGAGAGTCTCTAGCGTGCCTGTTAACTCGCCGATGTTCCGAACCGTACTGCCTGCACGTTCCTCATGAAACGTATTCGTAAGTTAGAGACAAGCGTAGAGAGAAACTTCAATATCAGTGCTGCGATATTTATCACGAGAAACGACCTTTAACTTCATCTGCAATCGTAGACAATAATCGATTGGATCTTGCAAAAACATAATCAATATGTAAGTATATATATACATATATATATATATATACATATATATTTGCATTTATGTCACTACATATGTACACATCATAGAAACGTATAGATACATACGTATGACTGAGATATATTTTCTTACACGGAAGTTATTTCTTTTATAGAAACGTTCTTATGTCGAAACGCAAAGAATCTCGTGTCAATGTATTTCATTAAGTCGACAAGTTGACGGATAATGAACGTAGAAATATAAATTTCTTCGTGCATGAAAAGATTCCTTAAGGAATAATAATGTTTCGTCTTTTATTTTTATCTTTTTTTCTTTCGACGCATGCACGCACCGCTTTATCAACGAACTCGCGACTATATCGAATAATGTTCTGTTTTGTTAGAGAACGATATAGAAAAAATAAATAAATAAATAAATAAATAAATAAATAAATAATAGGACGAAAGATAAAATTCGTAAGAAAAAAGAAAAAGAAAAGAAATGCGTAGCGCTCATCGCAATAGTTTTCTTCTTCCGCTTTCGCGACAGAAAGCGCATGCGCTCACGCTCTCCGCGGGAAGCAACATAATTCGAGACGAAGACACACGGCCGAGCGAGTACCGCTATTCCGGCTGACCGGAATCACTGCTCTGGAACAGCACGATATTCGTATCTCATACTCGACTCTCGCGAGGAGCAGAAAGCACACGCTCGGCCACCATCTCTTTCGGAGCACGTGCGACCGCCCAACAGTTGCACCTGCTCGCGCCTTCTCGCGCGTTCCGCTTCGAGAATATCGGACAAGGATCGCGAGAAGGAAAATTTCTATACTGCTACACGCGGAACGCTTCATCTTTATTTTTCTTTTTCTTTTTATCTTTTTTTCCTGACGAGAAATCATTATCGATCATATCGACCGTGCTATTAAATGCGGTAAGAATTCTTAGAACTTCTTAATCCTCTTCTTGATTATTTATGAATTTCGAAAAATTCCAATGAATAATGTAAATTTTGAATATGTAAAAGGAAAAAGTTATTTTGTCGAAGTCTTTCTATTTTAATTCTCAAATAATTTCAATATATAATCGATATATTAAATTGGACAAAAAGTAATGTCATAAATACATAAATACTTTATATTTAAATAAATAATATATAATATATTATATTATAGATATATTATAATATAGTATCGTGTTGGTAAATAAATATTGTCGAAATTTCCAATTAAAAATATTCTATGTTTGTTGTTCTTTATTTAGATATAATACCAAAAATTCCGACATTATTTATTGATCAATATTTTATATAGCGAAATAATTATTAAGCTTTATACTCCACCCTTTATCGTTATAAATAAACGTATAATACACACTTGTTATCGCACATGTTATAGGATTAATAATTTATATTGTAAATGTTCGAAAACTAGGTCTTATATTATTCTAAACTAATATAATAGTCTTCTTATAAAAATCACGAAATGAGAGCACGTCCTTCTCGTGCTCGTTCGTATATCTACCTGTTTCAAATTGTGGAGCACTTGATTAGAAAGGATACACAAGGTAGAATAAAAGTAAAAAAAGAAGAAAGAAACCTTAGAAAGGGACTTACGAAGCGATCAACATAGCGTGCGTCCTTCGGGTGTACACAATACTTTCGTTTAAGTAAGATACTTGCCTCGAAAGTAGCGTAATTTCTTCCGGAATAAGTGATACTCTCACGAAATATAGTGATACTTTTCTTTTCTACGTTCAAACTTATTGTAATTTTTATAACGAAATGTAAACTTTCATTGGGGGACAAGTTTTTCGAATTGATCGAAAAAAAATTCATTATCTACCCGGGAAATCTCGAAAGTACGAAATCATGCGCAATGTTACTACTTCTTATCTCGATCTGATTATATCTGCCCTTCGATCGTGCTCAAGCTCGCGTGACCGTCCGTAACAAATCATAAATGCTCCATGAAATCGACGACGCGTAGATATGTACGTATATATCTTACTTTGATTTTACGCAGACATACATTACCAGTGAAAGCAGCCAGAAATATGAAGAAGAAGGAAAAGAAGAGAAAGAAGAAGAAAAAGAAAAAGAAGTAGAAAAAGTTACAACCTAATCGTTCATTTTGAATTCGTGGAAATTAAAATATTAAAGGCATGCGTTTTCTACAAAATCATTTACGTATACGCATACGTATATATATTACCAGTGAAAGCAATATGAAAAATAAAGGAAAAGAAGAAGTTGCCAGTCTCATTGCTCATTTCGAATTCGTGAAAATTAAAATGTTAAAGGCACGCGTTTTCTACAAAATCATTTACCAAGATTTTCTCGGCACGCAGTTCTTTTTACTTTCGAAGTTGTATCAACGATGATTAATGTAATAGAATATTTTTATATGATGAGAAGGATCATCAGATGTACGTATATATCTGCCAACATGCCGTATAATTACAGTCGAAGAAAGTCCATTACGAGCATGCGCGACTAAAACGGTATTTATGTGGAAAAAAAAAAGAAAAAAAAAAAAAAGAAAAAAGAAAATTATTTAGAAGGACTCTCGTGCGCTTCTTTCTTTAAGAATGTCGACTTATGGCAGAAGTTGTAACGAGGAGACACAAGATATCGTACTCGAAAACTATGCGGTCGCTCGGTGGTAACGCTCGTGGAATAAATTTCGTGACCAGCATCGCGTGCCATCGAGTTCGCTCGATAATACATACAAGTAGAAATTTCTTCTCGATATAGTCGACTACACTTCGAACTTGTCATAATTTAATTTCGATGTTAGAGATAAATATATGAATCTTTATCGTGAAATTTTCCACTTAACGAATTGCATTTGCAAATGAAAAGCTTATTTCGAGAAAGTCTTTAATTCAAGCTACATATTATAAAGCTAAGGAAATGATAATTTTTTTCTTTTTTTTTCTTTTTTCTTTTTCTTTTTTTT